TGGGCTGTCTTGCTCCTTGGGTTCAAGGAGGTCCATTGTGGTATGTTCAGTGCAGGCCTGAGGGGACCATGAGATGTCTTCCTCCTTTATTTCCAAAGGGTCCATTGTGGTACAGGCTTGAGGGGACAATGAATTGTCTTGTTCCATGGGTTCATGGTGGTCCTGTGATGTTGTTTCCGGGGAATATGCATTAACTTGTTCCAAGGAAGGAGTCTCTTCCATGGCAACCTCCCCAGAGCCCTCCTGCTGGGCCCCACTTGGAGTGGTGCCTTTTGCCACCTTGTCGAGAGGAGAACCATATGGATGGCAGGATGATGCTGGGATCAGAAGGTCTGGCAGCTGACCACTGCCCTCCCTTTGGCTGTCATTGGCTTGTGATGGAGTGTCCAGACCAGCAGGAGAGTGGTCAGTGGCATAGATGGATGGGGGAAGAAGGTCTGAGAGACCAACCAAGTCACCGATACTGCTGAGGGGCCTCCCTTCCACCTCTTTTCCTCCATTGCCAGTCTCCAGGGTTAGGCTGGCTGTAACGTTGCCCGCATGAACCCTTTTCTTCCGCCCACCGATGGTAGCCCTACATTCGGGGCACTGGCTCTCTTCCACTGGCCGCCCACACTGCCCCACGCTGTAGAAATGGCCATTGGGACACATGTACCATTGCCCTCGGCCAAAACGCATGGCCTCTTCAATGGAGACTTTCTCTGCCTGGGAGAGTCGTGGCCCTGAAGCCGGCATCAGATGGTCCAGAGTCTCCAGTACGGGCAGGAGAGCCCCTTCTTGGGCTTCGGTGAAGGGCTGTGGTCCAGTGAGGAGGCTCAAGGCTTTGTCGGCAGCCTTTGTTGCCGTGGAAGAGGACGGCATTTGTTTCCCCCCGTAGATGGTCAGGCGCTCGAAGACGTTGGCCAGGTACGAGAGCCTTTTCACCTCGTTCCGGCACTCTCTGAGCTGCTGGGCCGCGAAGGCGTCTCCCCGTTGCCTTCGGTGCAACCAGGACTCCAGTGCCTCCGCTGCACCCACAAGGCGCCTTCCCTGCTCATCTGTGCAGTGTGTTGCTCGGTCCCTCAGCCGCTGGAGGCACAACAGGAGCCGCACGGTGCTTTCGCAGTCCCTGAGACTCTGGAGAGAAGCAGCCGCCTCGATCTCCCTCTTCAGAGCCTCCTTCCTGAAATAGCGGTTGTGTGGTGGCATCACAATCAGCTTGCTCAGTAAGGCCGCCCGGCCAAACTGGAGCTGCTCCCGGCTGCCGAACATCCTCCGCTTGATGTCCGCGATCCCTTGCTGCGTTGCTTTGATGACGTTGCTGTAACGCGGGTTGCTCTGGATGGGCGTCGAGCACTTGGGGCACACCTTCTGCTGGACTGGCTTGGCTTGGAACTCGTTGTCTCCGTTCCCTTCCATCCATCGGTCCAGACCCCGCACCTCAAAGATATGCCCACACTCCTTTAAGACAACAAAGCGAGACTCCGGCTCGTCTTCCTTTCCAAAGAAAATCTCTGCCAGCTCATTCCGGTGGCACACCCGGCATTTTGGGGGACATGGCTCCCCACAGAGACCCACGCAGGGGTGCTTGCACCGCAGGATCTTCTTGCAGGGCCGGTCGCACCGGGGACGGTTGCAGATCTCCCAGCACATCTGTGTGCACTGATGGTGCTTGCACCGCCAACTGCAACGTTGCACGCAGCGGAAGCAGAACTCCCCGCATGTCTTACTGCAGCGGCTGTGTGGGCACCGGTTGCGGCACATCTTTTTACACGGGGGGCAATTCTCAGAGCAGGAGCCCTGGCACGTGTGGGAGCAGAGCAGCACTCGGGTGCACTTCTGCCGGCAAGTGGCATGCACACGGCCCCCAATGCATTGGTGGCAGCTTCCCTGGCAAATGTGGCCACAGTCCAGTTTCTGCAAACACTTCTCCTGGCACGGCAAGGGCATCTTCTGCCGGAAGCACTCTGTCTCAGCCACGTGGGAGCACGGCAGGGTGACTTGCACTGTCTCCTTGCAGGAAGCGACTTGGCAGTTCATTCCACACTTCAGTTTGCACAAGTGGCCGCATTCCAATGCTTTCTGGCAGTGCTCCTGACAAACCCAGACCTCAGGAGGAAGATGGCAGGGCATGGCTTGGCTGTGGCCGCACTTAGGGACGACCTTCTCCACTTTAACCTCGCAGAGTCTGCACTCCTCCTTACACTTCTTGGGGCACTTGTGCTTCCGCTCGCAGAGGACTCTGCTGCACGGGAAGGTGCAACGGTAGAGGCGGTGGTCCTGGTCTAAGGGGTGGCAGCGGCGCGTGCAAGGGTGGCCGCACTCCAGCCGCGTCTGGCACTTGAGCGCGCAGCCTCCGTCTGGGAGCGCCTTGAAGTCCGCACTCGCTTTCACTGCCGTCTTGGTTTCAGGGTGGTTTTGGCACATCAGCGTGAGCTCCTCCCCAAGAAGGGCTTTGCTCTTCAGCAGGCCAGAGATCTCCTTCCAGAGGCTGCTGCCGGCCGAGAGAACGTCCAGGTTGCCGAGGCAGTAGAAGCCCTTCTTGGCTCGCGAGAGGGCCACGCACAGCCTGTTCTTGTCCTTGAGGAAGCCGATCTTCCCTTGGCTGTTGCTCCGCACCAGCGAGAGGAGAACGATGTCATTTTCCTCTCCTTGGAAGTCATCCACGGCGTGGACGGCCACGTCCTCCATCCCTTGGTGGCGCAGCAGCGTGCGGACTCTCACCACTTGCCCGTGGTATGGGGTGAGGATGGTGATCTGGCTACGGCCGTAGCCTTGCTTGAGGAGGTAGCCGGTCAGCGAGGCCAGGAAGGCGGCTTCGTGCCTGTTGCTGTAGCTCTCGGAGTCGGCGCTGTGGCTCTCTTCCTCTCTGTGCTGCACGAAGAAGACGTTCTTTTCCATGCCCTGAACAGAGACAAATCATTGCAGAGTGAACAGGCAAGGCAAGGTACAGAAACTGACGTCGAGCATGCCCCCCCCCCCAACAAGGGATAGTGACTTATAGTTCTGCAAAGGACAAAGGTACCAGACTGCACAATAGGGGTTAAGTCTTGGTCAATTTGTCAAGGCCTTAACAACAATGAGGACCCCATAAACTTTGAATAGAATCATAGAATCAAAGAGTTGGAAGAGACCTCCTGGGCCATCCAGTCCAACCCCATTCTGCCAAGAAGCAGGAATGTTGCATTCAAATCACCCCTGACAGATGGCCATCCAGCCTCTGCTTAAAAGCTTCCAAAGAAGGAGCCTCCACCACACTCCGGGGCAGAGAGTTCCACTGCTGAACGGCTCTCACAGTCAGGAAGTTCTTCCTCGTGTTCAGATGGAATCTCCTCTCTTGTAGTTTGAAGCCATTGTCCCATTGCGTCCTAGTCTCCAAGGAAGCAGAAAACAAGCTTGCTCCCTCCTCCCTGTGGCTTCCTCTCACATATTTATACATGGCTATCATCATGTCTCCTCTCAGCCTTCTCTTCTTCAGGCTAAACATGCCCAGCTCCTTAAGCCGCTCCTCATAGGGCTTGTTCTCCAGACCCTTGATCTGCTCCCTCCTCCCTGTGGCTTCCTCTCACATATTTATACATGGCTATCATATCTCCTCTCAGCCTTCTCTTCTTCAGGCTAAACATGCACAGCTCCTTAAGCCGCTCCTCATAGGGCTTGTTCTCCAGACCCTTGATCTGCTCCCTCCTCCCTGTGGCTTCCTCTCACATATTTATACATGGCTATCATATCTCCTCTCAGCCTTCTCTTCTTCAGGCTAAACATGCCCAGCTCCTTAAGCCGCTCCTCATAGGGCTTGTTCTCCATACCCTTGATCTGCTCCCTCCTCCCTGTGGCTTCCTCTCACATATTTATACATGTCTATCATATCTCCTCTCAGCCTTCTCTTCTTCAGGCTAAACATGCCCAGCTCCTTAAGCCGCTCCTCATAGGGCTTGTTCTCCAGACCCTTGATCTGCTCCCTCCTCCCTGTGGCTTCCTCTCACCATATTTATACATGGCTATCATATCTCCTCTCAGCCTTCTCTTCTTCAGGCTAAACATGCCCAGCTCCTTAAGCCGCTCCTCATAGGGCTTGTTCTCCAGACCCTTGATCATTTTAGTCGCCCTCTTTCTCTGGACACATTCCAGCTTGTCAATATCTCTCTTGAATTGTGGTGCCCAGAATTGGACACAATATCCCAGGTGTGGTCTAACCAGAGCAGAATACAGGGATAGCATGACTTCCCTAGATCTAGACACTATGCTCCTATTAATGCAGGCCAAAATCCCATTGCCTTTTTTTGCCGCCACATCACATTCCTGGCTCATGTTTACGTCGTCTGTCCTCATTCAGAAGAAGACCTACAAGCCACTGTAAACACCTCACTACCTCTGAGGATGCTTGCCATAGATTCAGGCGAAACGTCAGGAGAAAATGCCTCTAGAACATGGCCATATAGCCCGAAAAAAACCTCAGCAATGCCGTGTCTCTCCCTTACCTTGATGCTTTCGTATTGCAGGACGACCTGGTGGTCGCGCAGTTCCTTGTAGAAGAAAGGCACCAGCAGCTGGGAGATCTCTGGCCGCATGCGATGCTGAGAGGGCAAAGGAGAGAAGGGGTCACTGTCAGGTGCCGCCCACCCATCGAGCCTCTTTGGCTGTGACCATGGCCGATGATGGTGACAATGACTCTGAGGATAACGTTGAGCATGCCCCCCCCCTTAACAAGGGATGGTGACTTATAGTTCTGCAAAGGACAAAGGTACCAGACTGCACAATAGGGGTTAAGTCTTGGTCAATTTGCCAAGGCCTTAACAACAATGAGGACCCCATGAAACTTTGGGAATGGCTAGACCTTGGGGTCTCTGCCTCTCTCGGGAGCTGTAGTTCTCCAAGGACGGGGAGCAAAGCTAGTTTCCAGAGACACCAGGTCCATTTGGGCCATTCAAGAACTCCTGCCAGGACCCTTGCATTTTAGCCATCCCCTATGGACACTCTTTTCCCCCACATGGACAAACCTTATGAAATCTTGCCTTTTATGAACTTTAGATGTATGAAATGTGTTTTCTGATTTCTTGGTGTGGCAGAAGCCTTTCCCCTTTTCCTCTAACCTTTGTTTCCCCTATATACATGAAGAAACTCCACCAAAGGGACTACAAAGCCCCAAACATTCCAGGAATTTAATTATCCACAACTTCCTTTTGCATGGACAATAGCCTGGGCAGCTGGTGGCCCTCGGAGGAATTGCCCAGCCCTCAGCTTTCCCATTTGGCAAAAATCTTAATCATATTTCCTCCTGAAGGACAAAAGGTCCTTGAAAAAACCTTTTGGCTTCGCTCTGATTATTCATTTCACTCAAAGCACAATAGATCAGGCTGGCTTGAGATTTCCCCTTTGTCTCGCCAGCCGCATGGCATGGCATTTCCTTTGTTTACTCCTTTCCCAGATTCCTTTGTGCTCCCTCATCCCGCCTCCATCTCTCCTGATTGGCTGTCACCATCAGGTGGCAAAGGTCTCCCCATTGGTTCCTACGGACCACTGGAGCCCATTGCCCAATCATGGCAGGGAACAACAGGGAAGCCGGGGCGGGGAGTTTGAACTCTACAACTTTGAATTGCTATAAATATGACTGTACTGGTGTACTCCCCTCATGCTTAGCTTTGGCGAATTATTGCAGCTTCGCATCCGTTTCAGCTGAATCGCATTAAACCTCGATGGCTTTTCTTCAACTGGTGAGGCTTTTCATTGGGAAATCAGGGAAAAATATGGGATGCTTCTCTGTCTCGCCAGGGAAAAAGAACTCTTTGATGAGTCTAATTGGTCTCTGCCTCCTGGCAAAGACCCCTAAATTTTAGCTCTCGATCATGGACACTTGGCTATGGCCTTGGCTCTCATTTCTTCCTGACCTGACTCTGTAACTCCACAGCCTGACTTTGGCTAATCTGAACTCACTCTTGGCTCAGCCTCATCACTTTGTGTTTGCATTTCCATTTCAAGGACTTAAAGACTTTGTGTTCCTTTACGGAGGGACTCTGGTCTTTGGCATATCCTCCTAATGTTTGTGTAAACCTCGGCCCTGATATCCAGACTCATTACACATGACACCACAAACGGTGCAGCGCAACGCACCTGGTAGAGGAGCTGCACATGCGGCAGGTGGTTGTTGATCATCCGCTCGAAGAGGGAGACGCCCAGGTGGTACTTCTTCTCCAAGGTATAGTCAGCCGGCTTTGGCCGCAGCTGGAAAAGGCCAAAGGAACCCCCCATGAAAGGGCTGGGCAGACTGGGAGGAAACCTCCGAGGACTCAGGAGGGCTACTTCCGGGGACTAGGGCATCCTTACCTGCTGGTGGTCTCCGATGAGGATGAGGTGCTGGCAGGAGGGCGTCAGGGAGGTGAGGACGTGGGCCTCCAGGATCTCGGCTGCCTCTTCCACCATCACGATCCGGGGACGGATGCACTGCAGCAGCTTCCTGTATTTGGCAGCCCCTGGAAGACAGAGAGGAGACACCTGGTTGTGGTAGGTGGAGGACGGTGGAAAGGTGAGCCCATGCTTTAGATTAACCCCAAAAATAAAGTGAAGGAAGACTGCCTTTTCTAGATGTCCTAGTCATCCGCAAACCAGATCAGCAATTGAGTCACATAGTTTACAGAAAACCTACACACACAGATACCGACATAAAAACTCCAACCATCACCCAAGTCAAGAAAGAAGCACAATCAAAGCCTTGGTAGACCGTGCAAGCAGGATCTGCAAAGCCCACCTCCTCCAAGGTGAACCGAACCACCTCAACTGGGCTCTCCAGGCCAATGGAGACTCCACCTCAGACATCAGAAGAGCTGCAAGAAAAACGAGAAGAAGCCACGAGAGTCAAGATGAAGATCCACCCAGAGGGAAAGGGTTCTTGCCAGACATCAAGGGAACCACTGACCACAAAGGGAAGCGGAGGAAACACAACATACAAACTATCTCCAGACCCACCAAGAAAATCCAACAAATGCCACATTGAGCCAAGGACAAGAGGGATCCTCTCACCTTTGCAGGAGTCTACCGTGTCCCATGCAGCTGTGGACAAGTCTACATAGGGACCACCAAACACAGCAGCATTGCCCAAACACGAATCAAGGAACATGAAAGGCACGGCAGACTCCTTCAACCAGAGAAGTCAGCCATAGCAGAGCACCTGAGGAACCAACCTGGACACAGCATATTATTTGAGAGCACAGAAATGCTGGACCACTCTCACAACCACCATGTCAGACTACACGGAGAAGCCATTGAAATCCACAAGAAGCAGGTGGACAATTTCAACAAAAGTAGGAAACCATGAAGATGAACAAAATCTGGCTACCAGTATTAAAAATTAGAACAGCAAAACAACAGAGAGGAAACAAACAAGGACATCTAATCAGCTCTCAACAAAAGATTGCTCCAGGCACTTCCAGGCCATTATATGCTAATCAAGGTGGTCAGTTGAAACATTCACACCTAGCTCCTGCAGACAAGAGGCCTTTGTCCCACCCTGGACATCATTCCACAGATATATAAACCCTTTTTCCTAGTTCCAACAGACCTCACAACCTCTGAGGATGCTTGCCATAGATGCAGGCGAAACGTCAGGAGAGAATGCCTCTAGACCATGGCCATATAGCCCGAAAAAACCTACAACAACCCAGTGATTCCGGCCATGAAAGCCTTCGACAATACACCTTTGAGAGTTCAGGAAATTCTTCTGTGTGGTCAATGGAAGGTGGCTGACCCTGGTGACTTCCGGCAGAAATAATATTCCATAACATATTTAACTATAGATGCATATAGGTAAAAGTTTTCACCTGTCATTAAGTTTAGTTGTGTCCAACTTTGGGGCTTGGTAATCATCTCCATTTCTAAGCCAAAGAGCTGGCATTGTCCATAGACGCCTCCAAAGTCATGTGGCCAGCATAACTGCATAGAGTGCCCTTACCTTCCCGCCGGAGCAGTACCTATTGATCTACTCACATTTGCATGTTTTTGAACTGCTAGGTTGGCAGAAGCTGGGGCTAACAGCGGGAGCTCATGCCGCTCCTCAGATTCGAACCTGTAACCTTTTGGTCAACAAGTTCAGCATCTCAGTGATTTAACCAACTGTGCTACCGTGGGCTGGATAGCCATTTGTCAGGAGAGCTTGGGTTGTGTCTTCCTGCCTGGCAGAAAGGGGTTGGACTGGATGACCTCTGGGGGACTCTTCAAATCTTGTGTCACCTGTGGTGGTCATCCCAATGACCCGGCTGCCCCTGAGGATCCTCAGGTCTTCCTGGAAGGTCAGCTCTTGCAGCTCAGCCGCGTCCTTCTCGTACTTGGCCAGCATCTCCACCAAGCTGGCCTTCAGCTCGTTTTCATAGGCTGCCAACCATCTCCTGGGACCCCAATTGTGGGGGGGGGGGTGGAGAAAGAAGAGAGGGGAGTGTTAGCAGAGCAGGCCAGGGCTATTTACCTCAACCCAGAGGGGAATCAATCCCTCAAAACCCACCAGTTGATGGGGAGGCATGGGATGATGGGCAGCAGTTTAGTGGGTTTGGTTTAGATGCTGCCGAGGGCTTGATTAATCTGAGTCCTAGAATCCTAGAATTGGAAGATACCTGGTGGACCATCTAGTCCAACCCCATTCTGCCACGAAGCAGGACAATCGCATTCAAAGCACCCCTGACAGATGGCCATCCAGCCTCTGTTTAAAAGCCTCCAAAGAAGGAGCCTCCACCACACTCTGGGACAGAGAGTTCCACTGCTGAACAGCTCTCCCAGTCAGGAAGTTCTTCCTAATGTCCAGGTGGAGTCTCCTTCCTTGTAGTTTGAAGCCATTGCTTCATTGCGTCCTAGTCTCCAGGGAAGCAGGAAGGAAGCCTGCTCCCTCCTCCCCATGACTCCCCCGCACATATTTATACATGGCTATCATCATGTCTCCTCTCAGCCTTCTCTTCTTCAGGCTAAACATGCCCAGCTCTTTAAGCCGCTCCTCATGGGGCTTGTTCCCCAGACCCTTGATCCTTTGAGTCGCCCTGCTCTGGACACATACCAGCTTAGAGTCAACATCTCCCTTCAATTGTGGCGCCCAGAACTGGACACAGTGTGATTCCAAGTGTGGTCTTGAAAGGGGCTTTGGGTAAAATTAGCAATAGCTAAGCTTTAGCAACGAAACAAAGGAGAATTGTACCCCCCTCTGCAGAGAAAGAACAATATGTCAGAA